GAATTCCAAAAACCTATGCGTAAGATTTTTGAGAGTTCTGACTTACTCGAAAAGGTTTTTATTTTTTTAAAAACGATTTTTTGTAAACTACAGCAGCTCAGAAAGCGAAGCGAATTAAGGTTGCTAATTACGATCAAGATAAGCTTTTGAGGCAAGAATACTTTTCAGCTTTAAGTCGCTAGTGATAGCAATGATGCTGAAGGATTTTAAAGCAGTGTACTGGATGGATACTTCTACGTGCTTCTGTAATGAAAATTATGGTCTAACTATGGAGGTGGTTATCTTTTGTAAATCCAACTTAAATTTAGGACTTCAGTGGTCATTTCGTTTTTATAAGAAAAGATTTTAGAATTACGAATCATCTTATTATTGAAAAGGAGCTACTTCTTGTAGTTTTTTCTAATTTATGCCTGAGCGTGTAGTTTTTACTTTGCTAACTGTTAAGGGGTACCTCGAAGAAATGAAGAAAAAGAGCATGGCGTTTGCTATGTGCAGCACTCCGGACCACTCAATTTATGCCGCAACTGTGCCAGGAATGTATCACTACTTGCCCTATCCGACAGCTTTAGGAGTATAGTACTTTTTACAATTCACGTTGATAGTAGACAGTAGGAAAAACGCAACAATTTTTAAAAATTGTTTTTTTTGTGGACGGCGCACTTCACAAACCGTTGCAAAACAAGGACTTCTGCATGAATTGAATCTCAGCGCTTTAGAAAGTCACTATGATGTTGGAAACTAACAAAATGCTGTTTATTGGCACCAGAAGTATGAAAAAGACAGTGCTTAAGAGAATGGTTCAGTGCTCATTAATCAAGGACTGTATTGCACCTCCTAACAGTTCAGTGTTCTGCAAGTTTTCGGTTGGCTGTACAACTTTTTTGCTTAAATGTTTTTTTCGTGCTGCTGAAAGAGCAGCATATCAGAATACCTTGAGAGTAAGTGTTTTTTCCTACAGTCTCTTTAACAAGTCTTGGTTTAGAGTGGACGTTGGAGTGGACATGACGAGCATTGCCATCGCTATGACCAGTCAATGGTGACGATAATTGCTCAGATTTACTTCAATAATAAGCTTGAAGATTATTATATACCTTGCTATCCTCAATGGCGAACTGTGCGAGGTCCTCCCAATTGTGGAAGTAGAAAATTACATCAGTGAAGATCTGTTTCAGGTCCGTTTCAGTCAAATAGAGTACTGGAAAGCTCGATTTCAGGGGCAAAGTCGTAGATGCAAATAATACTGCTATACGAAGAAATGTCTCTGCAAGAGTTATGATTTGACCTTAGTGTAGTAAAGTTAGCATTTTTTT